ATGCAGTGGACTTCAGGATGGTTTGAACGCATGGCCACGGAAGACATGGCCAGGGAAGATCTACAGTCTGTACCTAGTTGTGTGTCTGGAGGAACGAGTCGTACACAAGGGCAGCTGAGACTCCCACGACAGACTCCACATATTTGACCCCCTCGGGATCGAAGGCGTGTGTCCCTGCGGAGTTCATACATAATAACCTTTAGAACCTCTTCCACACAGGACTTTAACTTAAAATGGCAGCAACTATTGTCAGTGCTTCACAGGTTTGTATACACTACGCTCATCTCATCCTCAATATTTTCAGGGCTCGCATTTCGGTAAACCTGAACAAATGCATGGTCAAAGTGGCCGTAATTATTCACGAGAGATCACGCATTCGGTTCCAAGTTAAAGTTAGCGCGGTTAAATCTATAGGTAACCTAGCTCTACATTGAAAACAGTATGTTTGTCTTCTTAATCAACCATGAATTTGGAAAATGCTCGATACTGATTGGTCAATTAGAGATGTCAAATCACAGTAACCATCTCTGATTAAAACTGATGATTTGACAACCGCATCACAACGGAAGCTTATTACTGTTTCAGGAAAAGTACCTTTTTCTCAATGATCATCGGAAGGCATTTTTAATTCGTTTGTAAAATGTCGGGGTAAATAATGCAGAGGTGTGGGTACTACTATATTCAAAGTATTTGTGGCATTAAATGTTGGGAAGAAAACACAATAGAACTGGACCAAGAGAATAGATTTAAAGTTTTAATGTCAACATCTGAACACAGCTTGACATTTGGCGCTTTTCTATATTCGACTTTGACGTCATAATTATACTTTTAACGTTACGATTAAGATGATGAAAATGTTTAAACATATACATTTTAAGTTTATTAACGATGTTTCCTAAATATTCAGATCGACAACCTTCATTGCACTCAAGACCGCTGGCGATGACGAACAAGTCTCCCCATGAAACAACCAGTCTCTGTGATTTGTAGACTGGGCTCCCGTCTATTCAGTATCCGTAAAGAGGGACGATGATGCTCTTTCGACAATCTGGCGACCATTTCCAGTTGGTTCCTTCTGTGGAACGGACGTCGTCTCTGTGTAATTATTGTGATCCTTAGGTGAGGTGAAAAGGAGTTTAACGTTGCAGTCAAGATTATTGCATTTATATAGCGACGTGCATACACGTGTATGTGTGTGTGTTTGTTTGTTTGTACTCGTACTGACTAATGCCGGTTTTATAGTGCTAGTCCACTGAGATACCATGCCACAGTTTAACAAGGGTAACCCACTGAAACAAAGTATACTGACTGTCGACCAGTCGGGTTTAATCCCTTTAATGCTGAGCACCAGGTAGGGTAACAACAAGTACCATCTTTTAACTTTTCTTGGTTTGACCGGGCCGGGGATCAAATCACCGACCTTACGCTCTCCGAACAGAAGCTCCATCCAGCTCCATCAGGCTCGCTGACTTGGTTGATGCATGTCATCGGTCCCAATTGCGTGGATCGATGCTCATGATATTAATCACTGGATTGTCTGGTCCAGACTCTATTATTTACAGACCTCCGTCATATAGCTGGAATATTGCTGAGTGCGGCGTAAAACAACAAACCAACCAACCAACCATCCAGCGCACCACTGAGGTAGTCAGTGTTATCGTAAACTGTTTGGCTTACATAATCAAATCTGAAAAAGTAAACTTAAATCCAACTGTTGCCCACCCCACTGTCCCTCACCCAGCCCTACCCACTCCCCACGCCCTTTTTAAAAAAACAAACAGTGAGTGTGTGTATATACCAACATTGGATAAGTCGGTCGACAAAAGATCTACTACCAGTCACGTGATGTATCATTTACTGTAATGGCTGGTCGATTCATCACCATGAAATCACGTTGTACAAATTTGTTTTGCCTGACGCGCTAACTGACAATATATTCATGTTGAAAACACAAGGATTAGGACTAAGTGCGTGCTTCAACATTTATGTGTTTCAGAACATGCAAAGAAAGATATCAAGTCTCAAAACACAACCTTGAATGATCGTTTCCGTATTTTATTCATCATATTCTTAATACAAAATATTTATACCTGTACTTGCTATATTGTAAATATATATCAACCATTTAATGTAATACATATGTCGCCTTCTTGTAAATACCACCAAGTGTACATCAGGAGACCTGATGGCAGCTCCAAGAACGTATGTTTTAATACTAATATACAGAAATACTTGCTTATATGACCAGATTGTATTATTCCATAATACGTTGTACAGATATCCAATGGTGCTTTATAAAGAACACGTGAGAGGTGTGTATTGTTAATTATTGTAAATATGTTCATAGTTATGTATCCATTTTAATAAATACAATTTAACCCTGAAAACATATATATTTTGCGGTATGGGTACACGGTGTCTTCTTGAAATACACGAGGTTCCATGAACCACGCCCATCACATGCCACCGGATCTACACACGTTTGAAGGAAGACGGGTGGGTGACTCAGCGAGACGGATCACTTCCTCGGGGTGGAAGAGACTGTGGAATTCGGGTGGGAGTGTTTCGTGAGATGGTACGCAGTGCATGTGAGCCAACGATGTTACGGATATATCTGATGATTTAAACATATTTTTTTCCAAGTAGTGTACAGGATTGGGGAGGTTGCCCTCTCCCACGTATTTGGAACGTTCACAATTTCAAAAGAGAGAGAGAGAGGGGTGGGGGGTGGAAGAGGGGAGAGAAAGAAGGAGAGGGGAGAGAGAGAGAGAGAGAGAGAGAGAGAGGGGGGGGGGGGGGCGAGGGAGGTAGGGAGGAGAGACATGTATTGTTGAATGAACAGTTCTTTACACAAACCCTTTAGTCGTACATATATAATGTTGGACTGCCATAAATATAGTGATCTACATTGTCGTATATAAAATAAACAACAATAGGTTTACATCAACAAGTATGTTATGAACAATATTTTAAGGCCGTTAAACATAATATCACGTTGATGACTAAACAATGTACAGTCCATGATATAAAGGCATTTTCACAAGAACTTGAACACGTACAGTTCCGGTGATCTTTTGTTACATAAAATTACATATAAGTCATAATTCTATTGACTGTACCTCCGTTTGGTATGTAAGATATTATATTTCCTTTTTCCACATGCGAAGTTCGCAAGTGACGTTGGGTGGTGTTTTTGTAAAGAATCCTTAAAACAAGAAATAGTAAAATTTCGGTCTGATAACGGAATGGAGTTCCACAACCGGATAGGCGATGGGTAAAAGGATTCACACAAATGTCTTGGGAGAGGAACACTTATGTTTTCAGAGTTTCTGAGTCTATGAGGTTTTTGCAGCAACAGTTTGTGGTAGAATATCAGTGAGATGGAACTGAGCCATATTACGATACATTTTACCCAATTTATATTTACGTTTCTTCCTACGCCCAACTAAGGGTTCCCAGGAGGGGAATAACTCTTGTTCCTAAAAAACTCATCTGATTTTGGTTTGTGGTGACCTTCGTCCATAAATAAAACTACAATTAAATAGCATATACTTCTGTCAATGAACTTTCCGACCTACTTTGTCTTTTTTTTGTACACAAAAGTCCTGTGAATGTAAGTTGATGGATTATATTTTTTCTGAGTAAATGTTTTTCGACTAGGTTAACATTGGCGTCGGGGGCCTGAAAGTGCCTTACCATATTCTCGCTGCTACAATATTTGATACTCGTAGGCTCAATTTTTGATAAATAAGCAAAAGGCTCATTTCAACCAATCACAAGTTTAATCAATTTGTGATGGTTACAAAACTGAGGATTTCTTAAAACAGGATAGACTGTCGTTGTATCTTGACAACGAGATGGACATTGTTCGACTTAATCATTTCTGGTGTCCCCTGTCCTGATATTGCTGGAATATTGTTAAAATCGGCGTAAAATCATACTCACTCCCTGTTTTACTTAAAAAGCCACAAAAAAGTAATAAGAGGTACTGCTGGCGCGATGAGAATTCGTACGTAAACATAGTGAGTGAGTGAGTTGGGTTTAAACCCGCTTTTAACAGTATTCCAGTTCTATCGCGGCATGTCAGCTTAATGTAGGAGGAAAGCCCCAAGTGATGCAGGTCTTAGACGTTTACCACTTCGGTGAAACCAACGAGCACGGGTATGGTGCTGACAAACCCTAGAAACATATTCGGGGCGAACCGGGAATCGAACCCACAATCATAGGTTTATGGTGCGCCCAAGGGACGCAACTCTGCACAGCGAATCGCGGCGCCTTAGACGAGTGGGCCCCCCGTGCCCCTCGTAAATATAGAAATAATTATATAGAAGAGTAATTATGAATTGAAATAATGATTTGAAAAGTAAACTAGTATTTATAATTAAAAGGTAGTTTCACGAACATGGCTTTAGAGGCATTTCATTTATCATTTCATATATCCATTCGTGATCATGCTGTTGCTGGATTTCACCTGCGCTGTTGCGTCGCAGTTTACTCGGATGTTGGACAACTATGAAGTGATGTCGTCGTCAGGCAGATAAACAAGGATGACTCCCCGACCCACCACACCTGCATGGCGAAATCGGGGAAAGTTTCAACGCGTATTCCTTGATTACAGAGATGAAGGAAATATGCTCTTCCGTTATCTGCTCCTTAATTCGAAACTGGGCAACTGTGCCTGTTTGATGGACGGAAGAAACTGTGACGTGGAAGTGAAAAACCACACCCAGTTTACATTATATGACACATTAAGGTTATCGCTTTGTTTTTTTAAACCTTTTTTCATGAGATACAGGACGCTAACAAGGAATTCACGTTTACGTTATCAATTTATACACGTCAAGCTAGTTTGGGAGAGCACAGGAAGTTCTGGCGGCCATCAGGGGTAGGGTATTCTGGGTATATATATCGGTATCACCGGTGACAAGCTTCACAACAAGGCTACACGCGTCTCAGGCAACGTATCAGAAGTCTTTGGAAGACCACGCCCACGTCCACGTCCACGTCCACGTCCACGTCCACGTCGCAAATCGCAGTCCACGTCTACATCACTACTCCGACACTTAAACAGGAATGATGTTTTCATTCTTCATCGTTATTGTCCTGGTTTCATTCATAATGGTTCAAGGGTCATCTCCCGTCTGTCCTTCGACACCGGAAGTTAAACTCCTAGAAGACCCGGATGATTGCGCAGTATTCCATTTTTGTTTCTCTGGCCAGCGTTTGACGTTCAGCTGTGAAGAGAGAGTGTGGGATCCGATCACAAACTCCTGTGTCGAACAAGGGTCAACGAAAGATAGATGTAAGTTTGAAATTGTGAAAGAACAGCATGTATTTACGACTTGTTTTAACCCAAGGGATCTGCATAATTTAGAAATGAGCAAACCTTTAAGAATTCTTTAGACTTTGTCAACATATGCAGGTATTGGATAGTTTGGCTGAAATGTGTGAAAAGGGCAGATTTTTGCGATTTTCAGTAAGTGTTTTACTAATATCTGAACATGAGCAAGTCCTTGACCCAAGCTGGTTTTCTTTGGAGAAGTAGATACAAAAAAACAAACTGTGGTAACGAATTAATCTTTTAGCCATATTTTAACGTCTTTTGGTATGACGCGGCCGGGGATCGTGCCACCGACCACCCACTTCCCGGGCAAACGCTCTGTCATCTACATTACGGAAGCGGTATCAATACCTGAAGCAACTGGTCGGAATGACGGCTCTACAAATCAACTGTTTTATATTGATACAAGTTCTTCGTGTTCAAGGTTCATGAGTGATTGATAGTCCATGTCAATTGTGACTTGGGGGCACGGGTGGCCCAGTCGTCTAAGGCGCCGCGATTCGCTGTGCAGAGTTGCGTCCCTTGGGCACGCCAGAAAGCTATGATCTATCAATCCCGGTTCGCCCCGATTATGTTTCTAGGTTTGTCAGCACCATACCCGTGCTCGTGGGTTTCACCGAAGTGGTAAACGTCTGAGACCTGCATCACTTCGGGCTTTCCTCCCACATTAAGCTGACACGCCGTGATATGACTGGAATACTGTTAAAAGCGGCGTAAAAACCCAACTCACTCACTCACTCACTCACTCAATTGTGACTTTCAGGTAGGCAGCGTGTCCATGGCTGTTTCAACAAGGTCGCTAAGATTGCCAAGGGCGATAACTGTGCCCAGTATTACGACTGTTCCTTAAACGCATCTAATATGGCAGACCGGAAGCGAGAGTGTCCATATCCGTTCCTGTTCGACGCTCAGAGCGCCACCTGTCGGGATCACTCTGAAGTCAAGTGTGGGGAAAGAAAAGAGCCCAAAGATCCATGTAAGTGAGTGTATGAGTGAGTTTAGTTTTACGCCGCTTTGGGCAATATTCCAGCGATATCGTGGCGAGGGACACCAGAAATGGCCTTCACACATTATACTCATGTGGGGAATCGAACCCAGAAATTCGGCATGACGAACGAACGCTTTAACCACTAGGCTGCCCCAGCGCTCGTCCATGTGAGTGACGATGCCATGAAAACAGGGATATCATAGTGATCGAGTGGTCAAAGTTTTAAGGTATTTCAAACCCTGTTCATAAGGTTTAATGCATAGTTCACATGGTTCTTATATACAAATGTCACGTTATGCAAAAAATACAGTACCCAAAAGTCGAAATGAATCATTAAAGTTTAATGTTTGCAAATATAAAACGTCAACGCCAGAGAGTAACCAGTCTCGATTATCCACCGAAACAGATGCCGTTGGAAGTAAAAGGCAAAATTGCGGTGAAAAATATAAGAATGGATCACTGAAAAGCAGTGATGACACCAGGTGTTCGCGAAAGGGGAAAACATGTCCTTCCCTACCGGTAGCAACCGCCACTCACAATTTGCATAAAAAATGTTGTTGCCTCAAATCAGTATTGCTAGTACAAGTTTGTTTTGAAACTTGACGTCAGCCGGACGCGCACCAGTCTTGTTTGTCGTGTTGAGCAGCGCCCACCCACCCAACCCCCACCCCTGGCGTTATAAACATGATAAAGCACGGTCACTCGATACACTCTCCTACCAAGAGTTCCATGCGGCCGGCAGCCAGCCAGCATAGTACCTCTGCCACAGGCCAGCGCCATGTGACGATTCGTCACATCTTTCACAGTCCATTCAAGATATTGCATATGCTTTTCATCCGTTTCATGTTTGACAAGTGTACACATTTTCATAAACAAATGTCAAAGAATGGTTACGGTTCATTTAGAAAGTATCCTAAAACGTGAAAATCTGCTTGTTTCTGCGTAGTTATCCTTTGTTTACGTTGGTTGTACGGCTCCACGTGCTGTCATCAAAGCCCAACGGAGAGCTCGCGAATCGGTCACTTTAATGTTTAAACATATTTTGTCATGCAACTCACTGTCGCAGCTGTAGTAGCATATTTATATAATTATGCAAAACAATATGTAAAGCGCCCCTAAATACTTGCATTAGTCCGTTCTATACTGATTTCTGAAAAGCGTTTGTTCACATACAAGTGAAAGTCCGGTCACGTGATATGTAAATTAGCCTGTGGCAGTGGTGTTATGCTGAGTCACCACTGCGCCGGAGTGTGCACTCGATATAACCTTTTTACTTATCTCGGCCTCGTTCCCCTAAGCGATCTCAGAGATAAGGTGAACGTAACTCCCAATCCTTAACACAAGCTTACGATAGTCGTAACGATATGATCGCTTTGTAGAACAGGGCCCTGATACCAGTAAATATGGATAAAAACATTTGACATTTTCAATCCACATTCCCAGGTGATTATGACGTCAATATGTGCCAGTCTGCAATGTGCCTCCCATGTATCGAGCGCTTCCCATCATGCACTGGACTTCCGGATGGTTTGAATCCCTGGATCGGCCGCGAGGGGTCACCCTACTACGTCGTGTGTCGGGTGGAGAGGGTGGTGTACTCCGGACATTGTGGCTCTCTCTTGGGCCTCCAGATGTTTGATGCCACCAAAAAGAGCTGTGTTTTGAACTTTGCTCCCCTCTTAGACCACCAGGTCAAAGTTCATCCGTAACATCCGCAAGATGGCGTTGTATCGACAATGGCTGTGAGGAAGACGTCGTATTTTGACGGGGACCTGAAGGATGAATCCATCATATCAGTTCAAGTTGTCGACACTGATTTATTTATACATACAATTCATTCTCATTGTTTGTATTTAATACCACCCAGTATGTAAATACTCTTCACGTATTTATTCATTGTCTTTGTTCTGCTATTGTGTTTGACGTTTGACAAGTAAGTTCTTGTACATGCGTTCCTGTGAAGGTTTGTCAAACTTGAAATAAATAACACTTCTATATTTAAAAATAGTTGAGCGTTTCTTATTGGTTCAGTACCTAAAACAGATTGTTTGTTTGTTGTTTAACGCCGCACTCAGCAATATTTCAGCTTTATGACGGCGGTCTGTAAATAATCGAATCTGGACCAGACAATCCAGTGATTAACATCATGACCATCGACCTACGCAATTGGGATACGATGACATGCATCAACCTTGTCAGCCAGCCTGACCACCCGATCCCGTTTATCGTCTCTTATGACAAGCATGGATTGGTGAAGACCCATTCTAACCCGGATCTTCACGGGTCCAAACAGATAGTAGTCTAGCTTTTTCAAAGTGGGGCGCACCAAGAGTGGACTTCACACATTCTACCCATATTTACGGCGTGACCAGAGAACCCTTAAACCACTGGACAGTAAATTGCGTGGCTCACCTTGTCGACCACTTGTATCGTGCTCAGACATTGACCTAGATAATTTATGTTCAGACCCTGTGAAACTCCATTTCCCTTTTGATTTAAAAAGGTTTGTTTTTAAGAACATTCCTGTAAAAAATTATATTGAAATTAATAGATATCGTGTAACAAAAATCATCTCCAAATGAAAGCACCGAGTGTTCATATCTTGCTATCCGCGTTACTATTGCACGGGTTGACTGGATATTCACATCGCGGAATTTCTTTCATCCAGACGGAGAACACATTTCTGCTCATGTCTTATTTTTGCTTACCATGCAATGTTAATCTTCGATAATCCAGTATCATGTCATCTTTCTATTATGATAAACATCCTGGAGCCATTCGCAATCATACCATTGCATGGTAATGAGTCTGGTTCGAATGACACGACTCTAAAAATAGCCGTCCAATCAAATGTTCATTCGTGATTGAAAGAGGTGGAGACATCCCCCACCAGATCTCAAATGGCCTTGCTGCCAACAATCGCATACTTAAATGATAAGGCTCGGTTGCATTTGGACCTTATTTTACTGTTAAACGCCGCTTAGAACAGTATTTCTGTCATATCACAGCGTGATACTGGAGGAAGGCCCGATGTGATTCAGGTCTCAGAAGTTTACAACGATCACAGGTATGGTTCTAACAGACCTAGAAACATACTCAGGGCGAACCTAGATTCAAGCGTTTCGTTTTATTTGTTTAACGCCGCACTGAGTAATATTCCAGCTATATGACGGCGGTCTCTAAATAATCGAGTCTGGACCAGACAATACAATGATTGACATCATGAGCATCGATCTACGCAATTGGGATACGATGACATGTATCGACCAAGTCAGAGAGCCTGACCACCCGATCCCTTTAGTAGCCTCTTTCAAGCACAGTCGCCTTTTACGGCACACATGGGTTGCTGAAGACCTATTCTAACCTGGATCTTCAAGTGTAACGAGATTCAAGTAAGATTTAAGATGCACAAAATATATTTCAGTTTGTTTGTGTCAATAACTGAGTCAAGAATAATCAAATACATATTATTTATGACAGACATTGTTTGTTGTTATCTCGTCGACACAAGCCACACATACGTGTTACACATCCTCGTGGTCCGTTGATATACGCACTCATCGTTAGTACAGTGACAAGCATATACACCCCATATTTGATGTCAACAATGGCAGCATTTCATTCTACAGTTTTCCGAAGTCATTATTTACATAAGAAATAGATGTTGTTACATGAATTGGCTTCTCCTATCCAGAGGAACGATAGTGTAATCTAACGTGTGATTCAAGCGTTCACTCCAGCAAGTTCAGACAGCTATCTGTTTATCTGTTAATTCCAACGCCGACGGTATAGTGCTGACAAACCAAAAAACATAATCAGGGCGAGCGGGATTCGAACCGACCACCATAGGTTTGTCAATCTGCACAGCAAATTGCGGTGCCTTTGACGGTTGGGCTACCACTGTGATTGAGGAACGTAGTGCACACAAACCCTTGAGTGCTGACGGCGTGTCATCCTCCCGAGGCAAGGGGGTGACTATAAAAGTCCAGTTTCCACCCTTGCCGAACTAGGCTGGAATTTATGGACTCGATCGTAGCGCCACCATTGGTATTACGAATTGTGTCCCTCTCTTTGCCTCTCCTGTTGACTAATCAGATTCCGCCTCTTATATCACTTACATTTGCTTCAAACAAAATGGCGGCGTCCAGTCAAGACGATCTGATCAATCGTAAAGTACATCATATCACGTGAGCACCTTGATTAAAAACATGAAAAGATTTGGAAAATATCTGTTGACCCCGAGTTGGCGGTGCACATGTTTTGCAAATCCTGCAATCGACCTAAATCTGCATGACAGTTTACGAACCGGATTTAGATTTCGGTGCGCGATCTTGATTGGACTATGCATAGACTGGTTAGTCAAGCCAAAATATAACTCAATTGCCTCGGGAAGATGACGGTGTGTGCACCTCAACCAAAATCATAAGTTTTGAAAATAGGTTCCAAGTTTGATTGTGACGGGCCCTTTTACGTAACATCTTTCTGAAAATCTTATATGTATGCAGGATATTGATATTGAGAGAGATCGACTGCTTTCTTTTATCTGAACGGGCGTTTTAATATACTAAGACACTTTGAAAACGCATATTTGATTTTTTGTTATATTTGGCAGAATGGCCACAAAATTCAGATTAAGTTGTTGTGTGTATTTACACATCGGATAATCAAACACAGCAATGTCGTTGCACGGGTTCGAATCTCGATTCTTTTCTGATTCGAGTTAAAGTTGATTATGCGTTTTCATTGGGTTTCAGTATAAATTAAGAGATTTGACATCACCACACAGTTTCATAAAAGCCTTAGAAACATCACTGATTTTTATAAACCTTTCGTACTTCACTTTCATATAACTTCTTAACGCCCATATGATCATTTGTTCTGCCATGACATTGACGAATGCATGATTCTGATTGGTTAAAGAGGCATCCATTTTTCTATGGATACCTCTTTTAAATTGAACCTTTTCACACACAAAGTAAATCTCAACATTCTTTGATATTCTTTAATTTGTTGCAAAGCAATGACACTTCATGTATGATGTCATAAAATAGTCCAGAGTAAATACACTTGGTATTTGACATACCGCTATCACATACGTTTATCACAATACACTCACACGCGGATTTCAATTTGGCTGCTCTTTTTCAACGTTTAACATGTTGTTGAACCGTAGGGTATACACCGTGAACAAAAAGAAGAGAAAAACATCCCGGCTGCACATTTCAAAACACCCATAGTTCTTTCTCTCTCGCATCTGAGGTACCACGGGTAGTTGATCCGGTTTGGCAGAGCGTGGTTTCCGTCCGGTTTACGAACACACGATGGTCGTAGCTCCGAACAGGGCAGACAGTGTGGATCGCTGCAAGTGATGTTGAGAGCTTGGTAGTCGCCTGTTGGTTAATGAAAACATGTCACATGATATTGGATAAAAATGAGTGAGTGATTATGGTTTCAGGTTTTAAGCAAAAATCAAACAATATAACAGTGGGGATGACACATTAGGTAGTTACACGGAATAAATGGTTCACATCAATGAAACAGACCATGGACCAGCGGGCACTGGGTAACAACAGTACCCGGATGAAAACTTGCTTGACAACGGTTTTAAGGATCTATCCCAATACGTCGCTATTACTGTATAATAAAGAAGTTGTTATCAATAACACTTTGTCTACTTTGTCATTGTCAGCTTCTTAGAAAAGTCTATCAAGCAAAGTACCCGGAAGTTTGGCGAACTGACCCCAAAAAATGACGATTCCTTTTTTTCTTTTCTTTAAAATCCGGATTGTATGATCCGGTATCTTCTACGTAAATAAGTCATTCAAGTTTAATGCAATTAGTTTTTATTTAATGACGTTGATTTGTTTCAATAAGAATGGTACTTTCACATAAGACCTCGTTTTAAAAGTCTTCAATAATACTCCAGGCAGGCTATTTCATTTTTTTTCAAGAATTTTCGGGGACACTTTCTTTTTTTCGATAAAATCCGGAATATTCAATGTGCCACGGACTGTACATTCCCAAATAATCGATATTTTTATACTATGTTAATGTGGGTCATACCGCCTTTCATCATAACGAAGCTTAACTACTTCTACTGCTATTTATTGGGGACACGGCTTGCCCGCCCATCGCATACACACAGCGATTTGCATTCCTCCGGCTTGCCAGAGACCAATAACGATCCGTTGTTTGTCAGCACCAAACCAATTCTCTGGGGTTTCGTCAAAGGTGGAGCGTCTCAGATCCGTATCACTTTAGGATTTCCTCCCTGAAGCTGGCACGCCGCAAGAGAACCGAAATACAGTTGTTAAATCTGACTCATTACTTATTTGGCATCGGGTCTTCGAGTGTAGTGACTTTAAGTTAACACGGCTCAGCAATTTTCTTGCAATCTCACGGCGGGGGACATCAAAAATGGGTTTCACAAATGGTACCCATTTGGGGAATCGAACCCGGGTCTTCGGCGTGAGGAGCGAACGCTTTTACTACATGGGTACCTCGATCGCCACCTCGCTTTGTTCGATAACTTGTGGTAGTTGTTATAGATAGAGGTGAGGTGAGGTGAAATTGGGTTTAACGTCGCGTCCAAGATTATTGCACTTATATAGCGACGTGCATGCACGTGTATGTGTGTGTGTGGCCGCTTGTACTAGTCCGGACTGATGCCGATTTATAGTGCTAGCTCACTGAGATACCATGCCGCAGTTTAACATGAATACCCCACTCAGACACAGTATACTGACTCCGAGCCGACCAGTCCTTGTTTTAGCCCCTTAATGCCGAGCGCCAGACAGGGTAACAACAAGTACAATCTTTAAACGTCTTTTTGTATGACGCGGCCCGGGATCGAACCCTGGACCTTCCGCTCTCCGGGCGGACGCTCTACCACAAGACCACGGAGGCGGTCTCTGTTATAGATAGAACTTACATGGGGCTCTCGGCACTGGTCTTCCGTTACAATATATCTCAGCAGACCGGAAGTCCTCGCAGAGCCCGGATGCTGGGTTGTACAGGTTGGGGTAGGGGCACTCCCTCTCCACCCCCTCAGCACCCCCACTGCAGTCATAGAACGAGGCGCAGCTAAGGATAGAGGGGTAGCGCCCTCTTGCGGTCAGGCGACAGAACTCATTCCAGCGAACTGTCAAAGACAAATGGTGGATTATAAGACTTTTTTCTTAAAACGTTATTCCAAAAAGGGCAAAGGATATTTTAATAATAACGTGTTTGTCGGATGCTTGTTTGTCAAACGTAAGAAGACTGAAGACAATGTATGTTTGAAAGAAAATGCTTTTAAAGTTTCATATTTTATTATTCATGTTTTTGTAATGGCCATCTTGTGGAATTTTAGATATATAAACAAACAAATATCAACTTCTTCGAAGTATTTTTATTCTTAAGTGATTTCTTCAGGTGTATGGGCATTTAATATAAAAAATTGCGTTATAATGCCTATCACTGTTACGTCATAGGCTGTATGACGCCACAAATACCGCTATTGTGCGTTGCCTATGGCGACAATGTACGTTAAAGTTTTCATTACACCTGGGATGCGTTGCAAAGCGCCAATCGCTTGCAAGTGATGTCCAGCGAATCACCTTACAACTGTGCGCTGACTTTCAGCCGCTTGCGGGGCGGTCGGGTAGCCTAGTGGTTAAAGCGTTCGCTCGTCACGCCGAAGACCCGGGTTCGATTCCCGACATGGGTACAATGTGTGAAGCCCATTTCTGGTGTCCCCCGCCGTGATATTGCTGGAATATTGCTAAAAGCGGCGTAAAACCATATTCACTCACTCACTCACTTCAGCCGCTTGCAAGCGCAACAATTGCTGGCTGAGGTCGCTTCGTTCTCAAACCAAAATGGCGGCTGAGTTTGACAGCTTGCGTAACAAGAAATTCTTGACTGAATCAACTGTGAACTGAAGAGCCGTTGAACGGCGAAAGATTTTGTGTAAGGGGTTTTGACAAGCACGAATATCTGATATACTTTGATATAACATCCCTACCTTTCTCCTGTTTCTTACACTCCGTGCTGTCCATCAAACAGATTGGTTCCTGCAAACCAGTAACGGTTCTGGTATCCATCGGGCACCTGCTCCAGTAGGCTGAATCTCCAACACATCGGACATACCCCGTACAGGCCCAGGGCAGTAGAAACATCACCCCGTCCTTGCCCCTACACAGGTAGTTCAGCTCAGGGAAGGGGAGGCCCGGGCCCCCGGGGTAAAGGTGTGGCTGGCTGGCAGGGGGGTCCATGTATTTAGTGAGGGGGTACATGTACTTGATGGCTTCTGTGGTCACCAGAAGCACGCTGAGAGAAGAGATCATTCCGAGACTTAGAGCGGTGGTCATTTTGGACTGACTACTTCTGACTTCATTCGATGTTTCCTGTCATGAGAATAAAATATCGGAATGCAAAGCAACCTCGTGAAACCGGTAGGTAAAGTTTATTAAGTTGCAGGTGGACGCGACCCATGCCCATGGTTATATAATCAGTGAGTGAGTGAGTGAGTGAGTGGCTTGTTTACCAAAGGAGACATATCTGGTCATACTTTACAACTATGACAGGCGGAGTTGTCTCCCTTGAACCAAAGTCAGAATACATTCTACGTTCACCTTTGATATGGTAAATATTGAAGGCCAAAATGGTATGAAAAATTCTCAATAATCCTGGTCCAACTAATATTTTTCAATAATTTTACGTAATGACCTATAGTTGGGTGAGCTTTTACTTGTTGAATTCCTGGCTCAGAATCAACTGCAACAACAATAGTGGTTTTACTTTGGTTAAAAAAATGTGGGGAAGAAAGAAAATATGCACTTGAAAACTGAATTTGACCTAAAATTTACAAACGTCATCAAAACGTGACTAGGCTGAAAACAGTCACCGAAACACTGCAAACTTAAGGTCCAAAAACACAACTGTGATACCTGTATCAAATACATCACCATCGATAAACAATTTCTTGTTTGTTACTTTTTAGCCACCATGAAACGTGGATGTAAACTTTCTTTTGACCGTCAGTTTAGATGGACATGTTTCCCTGATTAAATAGTCAATAGGTAGCACATAAGAAAGATTTAAAGTGACTCAAGAAGACATTGTCATTATTTTTATCACGCATTTGATGATAGAAGTTAAAATATAACACAATAAGAATAAACGGTCAATAAGCCGGATGAAACGTTGTTTTAAAACAATTGTTTTTTCTTTCCTTCTTTTTTCATCTCAGCAGGTTCAGCATATATATATATATATACATGTCAACAAAATTGTGGAACATGGTATTAAAGAAGAGTACAGCTATTCATGCATATAAATTCTTGCCTATAAAGTCAACGTGACTGTGCCTGTGTGTATTACAGATTGTTTTTTAAACAAAGGGTGGAAGGAAGACCAGAAATTTAAAAAAGTTTACATGGCTACAATTAGTTAATGACATTACCTTTGTATCACTGTAATAACTACTTATTAGTTTTTAAATAATATAATTCAGTTATATGACGGTGTGTCAGCTCAGTATGGAAGGTAATCCCAAATTTGCACGTTTACCACTTTTAAAAAGCTACGAGCACGGCAAGGCGTAAATAAACCAAGGATCAATTCCATGATCAGCGCATCCTGACAAGGCTAAGGGGCGTAACCCATTGCATCCACCCATGACCCTCTCGCTAATGACATATCAACAAAAATAAAAATGTGCAAAATGGAAATAACAGAATCAATACATAATCAATAATGTTCATAACAATGATGGAACTTACACAGAACCGTCCTTAAAGCCTCAGCAACAGAGCTTGTCGATCTCCGTCTACAGTGATTTAAACCATGCCTTATATACCTGGCCGTGATTCACTCGCCTTGACAGTTTAATGCCGTCTATCGCAACGTGAATCACTGGACCGTTACAGCAAGGCACTGCCCATAACACCGACGCATAAACAACTCATTTTACACAACAACATGGGCAATAACAGCTTCCGTACTTTGTTTTATGTATGTGTCTTTCCATGTAAACATGTACGGTGTTTTTTGTATGTGTTTTCTGTTTACGGCCACGTTCCTTTCTTCTCGCCTGCTTGTCTGTTAACTTTTTCAGTAAATTGTTTGATAGGCATTACTTGGAAGTTGACGGATGACAGAGTAGAGACAATTTATGGATAACAATTTCTTTATTTTCTGTAAAGGCGACTTTTCGGTGTAGATCCTTTTAACTTCTTCAAGCTAATTCAGTGAGGGTGAGTGAGTTTGGTTTTACGCCGCGTTTAGCAATATTCCAGCAATATGACGGCGGGGGTCACCAGAAATGGGCTTCACACAGTGTACCCATGTCGGGAATCGAACCTGGGTCTTCGGCGTGACGAGCGAACGCTTTACCACTAGGCTACCCGGACCCCCCCCCCCCCCCCCCCCCCCCAGTAAAGAAGAACATAGTGTGACAGTGGGATAATATTTGTTGGTATGCGACGTCTTGATGTTTGTATTATTACTCGTCGCCTTTATATAACCAACTATCACAGGTGCAGTGCGAAGTCATCAGGTGCATATCGGCTACTACTACTACTACTACTACTACTACTACTACTACTACTACTACTACTTCTACTACTACTACTACAGTCTTCAGCAACCCATGCTTGCCGTAAAAAGCGACTATGCTTGTCGTATCAGGCGACTAACGGGATCGGGTGGTCAGGCTCGCTGACTTGGTTGATGCATCATGATGTCATCGTATCCCAATTGCGTGGATCGATGCTCATGGTTTCAATCACTAGATTGTTTGGTTCAGACTCGATTATTTACAGACCGCCGCCATATTGCTGGAATATTGCTGAGTTTGGCGTTAAACAACAAACAAACAAACAAACTACTACAGCCACCACCACTGTTACTATTACTACCACCATCACTATTACTACCACGACCACGACCGCTACTCCTACTACTGCTACCACCACCATCACTACTACTACTACTACTACTACTACTACTACCATTACTACGACTACTACTACTACTACTACTACTACTACTACTACCATTACTACTACTACTACTACTACTACCATTACTACTACTACGATGACGCATACACTGTCCAAAAATAAATGTTACTTTAAAGAGCGTTTATTAAAGCAATTTAATCTAGAATCCTAACATCAAGTGGTCTTTTCAAAGTTGTGTGTCGTTGTGAAATAACGAACAATTACTAACATTAATACAAATGCAGATTTTCATCGAAAAGAATTAATTTTAACCTTAACATTAAAAAAATGAGTATCATGTATAGTGAATCTCTTCGTATGCAACAATGAACGTCATATTTCACCATATTTCACCCATGTACACCTTAAAAACACGCCCACAGATTGCTGACTCATCCATGCCGTGTTTATACCATAGCATTCATTTGCTGCTGGGGATATGACTCGCCTCATTCCGGGCACGTCTTCCCAAAGTGGGCGAGACACTGTTGAGAAACCTTCTCTGCATGTCACCATCAAACAACAGACTCATTAAAACGGGGGACACATTTCCATCATGTCAACAGGCCCACAAGTTGATGCGCATTTTTATTATCTACAAATGAATGAAATATACTAACGGAAAAATGTAACTGTGCTTTATATAAAGTTCAATAAAAATCAACTTATTTTGAAATGAAATAATGCTTCTTATAACACATATTTATGAAGACATATCGTCGTTAAGGTCGTTTTTCATAATTTACACGAGTAACTTAATGCAATTTGTTATGATAAAACATTGATCAGACGAATGACTAAATCGTATGTTTCTATTTTCAATAAGTAACATTTACACCACTTTATACTTTTTTTCCGCTGGTATATAGAGTGAAAATATAATCGCATTTCATATATAGTCATGCGAACATTCGCGGCGGTCGGGTAGCCTAGTGGTTAAAGCGTTCGCTCGTTACGCCGAAGACCCAGGTTCGCTTCCCGACATGGGTACAATGTGTGAAGCCAATTTCTGGCGAACCAACGGTGCTCGTGAAAAGAACATAATTAATCTATGGCTGTGGTTACTGCTTGATAAGTATTTATATTCTTATATAAAGAGGCATAGCTATTGGTTTATTGTCCGTAAACAAACTGATAAGGTTAAACAGGATGGTTATTGCCCGTGTGAAGCAAACTGTTGACAGTAAGTTTATTAGCTGCAGTATATAGACTTGATGCAAAACTGATCTAAAAAATATATTATTTTGCGTAGGTTGTAGTTAAAAGAATTATGTAATAAATAGACTAGTTCATGCTTTTTGTCATCCTTCGCATGAGATACTGATCGTATTTTGATAAATAAAAATAGCATGAAATAGTCTTCAGGTACACGGATGATATCGAGGGGAGGGGAGGGGAGGGGAGGGGAGGGGAGGGGAGGGGAGGTGGGCTTTGCATCATGTGACTCGGATCTTACAATATCAAATCTAATCTAATCTGCAACATCGTGTACCACGGACAAGGTTCGCAGGTGTTTGTGTTTTAAAATATGTAAATAATAATAATTCAAATAAAATAAAGTATGGCCCTATACTTTTTAACAGAGGCTTGTTTTACCTGTTTCTGGCTGAATGCGTTGTTATTAAATACACACAACCGCATATCCTTGTCAGCGAACGTCCTTTCAAGCATATGCAGATTTGGTTTGAGATCAGCAGTTTCTCTGGTCCGTTATTTTTTCAACAAACAGGTGCTCGTTGACTTAAAATCGTGTTTAATAAAAATAACGAACTGTATTCTTATAGCCTTCTGTTCAGGATGTTCAGGGGCGGTTGGGTAGCCTAGTGGTTAAAGCGTTCGCTCGTCACGCCGAAGACCCGGGTTCGATTCCCGACATGGGTACAATGTGTGAAGCCCATTTCTGGTGTCCCTCGCCGTGATATTGCTGGAATATTGCTAAAAGCGGCGTAAAACAATACTCACCCACTCTGGATGTTCAGGTCTTTTGCCAGAGGCGATCCTCCCGTCCTCCATGCTCGTAGTTGTTGATGGAGGCTGTTCAAAGTCCTGATCCATCACATTTCTCATCTTCAAGCTGAGTTGAATTCCTTGCATGTACGTGGGCCACGGTCCACGAGGTTTTCAGCTGATTCAGCCGCGTTGTCTGCGACTTCACGCACTTCGGTATCTGCCCTCAGGCGAGCCTGTGTGGAGGTAGACTTCTTAGGTCGTGGGTACAAAGGCATGCTTCAATTCCAAGCAGGCTGGGGGCAAGTATGCCTTCGTGTTTTACTCCACTGTAGATGCCAAAAGCATCTCAGGACGAACCGTGAAACTGCAAGGTGTCTTCCATGTCAGTGTGGAATGACTGAAGAGCTAGGGTTGGCAGCCAATCCATACAATCTCTGCTCACAAGGTCAAAGGATTTTGTAAGGTCGATGAATGTGATGTAGAGTGGCTTCTTCTGCTCCCTACACTTTTCCTGCAGTTGTCGATTGAGAAGATCATGTCGGTCGTGGAACATTCTGCACTGAAGCCACACTGCGATTCGTATGCATCCAATGAGCACATTTCTGTAGTCTGTTCAGGGCCAAACGACGAAGCGCTTTCTGACTTTCATGATGCCGCTGTACTCATTTTGGATTTTCCCAGCATCGGCCATCGATTGAATGCCCTCATAGAGCTGTAACCAATATTCGTTGCTCGTCTTCTTGTTGTTTTCTGGACTCCTGGCTGTTCTGGAGGTTTGCAGGAGCTTCTGTTTTGGGCAGTGTTTGTATTATGTTAATGCTGCACGCGTTTGCTCAGTGACAGAGATGAACTCGTAGAAATGGTCTTAGAGCGTCATGAGTTTTTCTCTGCTTTCCCTGAGTGCCATGGCGTGAAGCGTGTCTCTCAGATGGCCCCATCTTTGCTTGACATCTCCCTGTTGAGGTTCTGTAACCAGAGCAACGACCAGGGCATCAGTAAAGGAGTCCACTCTCTTGCGGGTGTGAGGTCTTACTGACACCAATACGAGTCTTTTACTCTGGGTAAGCGTGGTGCATCCTAATTGGCTGGAGTCTGATTCTGCAGCAGACGAAGGAATGGTCTGTGTAGCAGTCGGCACTGTGGTACGAACGTGTGATGAGCACATTCCATAGGTTCCACTGCTTGGACCGGTAGTGTCTGCAGGACACCTTGTGCTGAGGCTTGGTCTGGAAGAAGCTATTGGTGATGCACAGGTCGTGGTGTGTGCACAGCTCGAGAAACCGTGGTCCATTTTCGTTCATCTTGCCAGTTCCGTATTGTCCGAGACAGCAGGGACAGAATTCATTGTCAACACACACTGTTGCATTGAAGTCGCCAAGCAGTAGTAGTTGTTCTTGATAGGGGATCCCCTTGTTGAGCTGGTCGGTGAACTCATCCTGTATGGAGTTGAGGCTAGGAGCGTACACGCCAGTAAAGGTTTGCAGACTCGGAGGATGTGAGGAGTCGGAAGGTGAGAAGTCTCTCTATTCCATTCTCTATTCATCATTCTTAACAGTGAGTTCTCGACAGAATAGCCGATGCTGTGCTCTCTGGCGTGATCAGCTCCCAACAACAAACAATATAATTTGGTATGAGGAACTAAACATCTAACTTCAGCTTTCCAGGCAGATGCTCTATCCACTCGGGGGTAGAATAGGTCTTCACCAACCCATGCTTGCCGTAAGAAGGTGACTATGCTTGTCGTAAAAGGCGACTAACGGGATCGGGTGGTCAGGCTCGCTGACTTGGTTGATGCATGTCATCGATCCCAATTGCGTGGATCGATGCTCATGATATTAATCACTGGATTGTATGGTCCAGACTCGATTATTTACAGACCGCCGTCATATAGCTGGAATATTGCTGAGTGCGGCGTTAAACAACAAACCAACCAACCAAACAACCACTAC